GACAAGACTTCCCTTACAGAACCCATGCTGAGTCTGCCTCATTAGGTTTTGTTCATCTATGTGCCTACTAATTCTTTCCTTAATAATGGTTTCCACCAATTTACCCAGAATAGACGTCAGACTGAGTGGCCTGTAATTTCCCGGATCTCCTCTGGAACCCTTTTTAAAGTTGGGAGTGACATTAGCTACCTTCCAGTCCTCAGGAATGGAGGCAGATTTTAAGGAAAGATTACATATTTTTGTAAGGAGATCCAGAAATTCACATTTGAGTTCTTTCAGAACTCTCGGATGTATGCCATCTGGGCCTGGTGATTTATCAGTTTTTAAGTTATCAGGTTTTTTTAGGACCTTTTCTCTCGTCACCTCAATTTGACTCAGGTCTTTCAACCCCCCTCCCAAAATCAGTGGTTCTGGAGTGGGCAAGCACTTCTCATCTTCCACAGTGAAGACAGAGGCAAAACATGCATTTAGCTTCTCAGCCATTTCCCTATCATCCTTCAGTACTCCTTTTACCCCTTGGTCATCCAAGGGCCCCACTGCCTCCCTGGCTGGTTTCCTGCTTCTAATGTATTTGAAGAAAGTTTTATTGGTGGTCTTTACGTTTTTTGCTATATGCTCCTCATATTCCCTTTTTGCCTGTCTGACCACAGACTTGCATTTTATTTGCCATAGCCTGTGTTCCGTTTTATCAGCCTCACTGTGACTAGCTTTCCAACACTTAAAGGAATCCTTTTTACCTTTTACAGCTTCCATTACTTTGTTTGTTAACCATGCAGGCTTTTTCCTATACCTATTTGTGCCTTTCCTAACCTGCAGAATATATATATATATTTTTAGCTTCTAGGACCGTAGCTTTAAATAGTTTCCAAGCTTCCCCAATGGTTTTGACCCTTTCTACTTTTCCTTTCAGTTTCCTACCCACATGACCCCTCATATCAGAGAAACTCCCTTTTAAAGTTAAAAGTGGTTGTATCAGTCTTTTTGGCCAATTCCCTATTTATACAAATGTTGAACTCAACAACATTTATTTATTCATTTATTTGCCATCAATTATTTATTTATTTATTTATTTGCCATCAGTTCACACTGATTTACGGCAACCACGTACGGTTCCAAAACAGAAGGGAAAAAAACCCAATCTTAATAAACAACCTTTGGGTACCCAACCACATAGGGCTTTCAAGACAAGAGACGTTCAAAGGTGGTTTGCCAATGCCTGCCTCCACATCGGTCCTGCTTAACTTCTGAGACTTGACAAGATCAGGCTAGGCTGGGGCTATCCAGGTCAGGGCTCCTCCTCTATACAACAAATTATTTTCATTAATAATCATGAAATAAAATGAATAATAATAATGGCCAGATAATAGATTCAGGTGAATAGCCATGTTGGACTGAAGCATCAGAACAAAGTTTGGTCTTAAAGGTGCCACTGGACCCAAACTTTTTCCTCAATGGCCAGAAAAGAAACACAGACAATTAAAAATTCCTTGTATTTAAATTCATATATATAAAATCATGCCAGTAAAGAAAATTCAAATCCCAACATGCTAGTCCATCATGAGAGCCAGTGTGGTGTAGTGCTTAAAGTGTTGGACTAGGATCCAGGTTCAAATCTCCACTGGTGCCATGGAAGCTTGCTAGGTGACCTTGGGCCAGTCACATTACTCTCAGCCTAGCCCTGACCTGGATAGGCCCAGGATAGTCTGATCTCATCAGATCTCAGAAGCTAAGCAGGGCTGATATGGAGGGGTCGCCTTAAGTCAGCTGTGATTTGATGGGGGGGGGGGATTCCATCACACCACTCATGTTCTGAGGAGGCACTTGGGAGGGCTTCTGTTCTCCATTTTGAAGCCCTAGAAATGACCACCCCAAACATCTACAAGGCATTCTTGAGAGTCTGCCTTTCTACTATCCTTTACTAACACTAGCCAAAGCATCACAAAACAGTGATCACAAGCTTCACCAGACTAGATGTTAAGAAACACACACCCCCAAAGAAGGTGCCCCCATTCTCCATTGTTTCCAAAGGACTAAAGTCAAACCAGAGAATCTCTGCAGTAGAAACTGAGGGAGGCCATTTTGCACCCCAGCAGAACCAGTGCAATGTACAGAACACCCGGCATCAGGGGCCATTTGGGGCCAAAGCACACCAGAGCGCCGCTCCTGCAGCTCGCCCCGGCAGCCCCGCCCCTGTGCTCCTTTTTTCTAGAGTTGCGCCGCAGCAACAGCGCAACTCCACAGAGAAGGGATTTAAACTGTTACAGACCAGACTGAAACCATTTCAGTCCCTATGTTCAATGCATCTTACACCCAAGTGCTTGCATATAGGATTGCAGACGTAGTCCACAAAGAACTTTTTGAACTACCTACCACTTTAAAAATGTCTTATACGATAATAGGCTTCCACCACACTTTTTAAAAAATAATCTTAGTAAGAATTTTGTGAAACTACAAAGCCAGCTCACTAGTTTATGACTTTTAGTTGGTTCTAAGCTTTTGATGTTATTTGGATTTTAGGAAGTATTTGTTTGTTTATTTATTTATTTAATTTATATCCCACCCTCTCCACCAAGGGAGTCTCAGGGCGGCTTACATGAGGTGTATAAAACAATTAAAACACAAATTAAATAAAATCAAAACAATGCAATTATGAACATAATATAATATAAAGTGCTAGTTTGTATCAGATGCATTACCAGCATCCTCAGGCAGCCACTGGCTGACATCGTAGTCTGGGTTGAATTGGCTGTTAGCAATGATGTTAATATTAATATTGGGGCCAGGGCCTCAGTTTCTTAGGTGCGGCTCCCTAATCGACGGCCTGGTGAAAGAGCTCCGTTTTGCAGGCCCTGCGGAACTGTAAAAGGTCCTGCAGGGCCCTGATGTCCTCCGGGAGCTCATTCCACCAGTACGGAGTTGCCACTGAAAAGGCCCTGGCCCTCGTCACAGCCAGCCTGATAACAAAGTTGCCTGGATTATTTTGCTCACCAAATTCTAGACATATTTTAGTACTGCAAAGCTGAGCTGTACAGAATGCAAATTGACTTTCAATTTATTTTTAACAGTGATGCTGCACTGCTCATTTTTAGAATAGTAAAACTACTGTTTTACTTTAAGGCCTGGGCTAGCTATCTAATATTAGCAAGGAGAATAATACAGCAAAAAGATTATCCTCTCTTCCAATGACGACCAGTTATTCTGAACCTCCTTTGAAGAGCCTGTCACTTTCTAACTCTTCCAACAATCAAGAGAAGCCGAAAGAGTCCTTCATTTCTATCTTCAAGAAGCTACAAGTAACATTTAACACTGTTTTAAGTACTAAATATCTTCTGAAGAATGCATGTCCCTCTTCCTTGTGTACAAGGGTTAAAGCAAAAAGCCTAACAGGAGGCATTATATGAAAGAAAGAGGGAAGGCCAGAAGGAACAAAAAAAATATATGCATACTTTCAAGTGGAAAAATTTGGTTCAAACTTGCACTGCAAGACAAGGCTCACCATATACCGGAGTTACACCTGTCATTTCACCATCTGAATTTACAGTCTGTGAACAACAGAAAGGAATAGTACAGTAAAAGCTCAGTAATTAGATTAAATGGAAGGCAGAAAAACCAGCCTAGGGGATGCTACTAGCTAAAACCTGAAATAAGTTCAGCTTTTTGTCTGGCAAGGTTGTTTTCCAAATTAGTGCAAGAAAACACAGGAGGAAAGTCCCACTTCACCAGTCTGTCTACTTCTACTGCACTTGCTACTGCACCTCTCACCAGATCAGCACAGAAAACTCAGTAAGCCTGCTGCCGGGAAGATACCTCAATAGTTGGCAGTGCTTGGAAGATACCTCCCGGGGGAAGGTGACAGCTCAGCATCTCACACTTTATATGAAATGAAATTAGCTTTATTCACGCACTAGCAGAGGGAGAATATTCCCATGGCAAATGTGCTACAAGCTACACTCTCAACACCAATGGGACATGATCACAACCAACATATGTGCACCAATGCACAAACTCTTCAGAAAATACTGAATAAACACTGAGATTTTGTTCTTGGGTTCTGCTATGGACAATCAAGCCTACTAGTTTTTAGGGCTCCTCTGAGAATGGCCAGAATTAAGGCACTGAAGAAACAGTATTTCAACTGGAGGAAAAGAATCTGAGAAACTTCACTAGGTAATATTACCATAACTTGGTGTATATCAACTCTCTACTTAGTGCACCAAAATTGTCAATATATGGGCTGCTATGTTCATTCTCAACCTTTTAAGGGGCTTGTGCATTCAATCTGACAGTCATTTGATCAGCTATTGGTTGTTATACTTTCAATTAGATGGCTTCATTTTTGCTTCCTTCCAGCATGCCAGGGATACAATTTGATACCACCTAGTCATGCACTGTGCCCACTGTGGTCAGCTAAGCATCCTATACAGGATGCAGACAAAGAAGCCTTAACACCATGTCCTGAAAAATGTGCTGTTTTCTCCCCCACTCTTCATGTTTTATTTAACATCTAGACTGAGATGTATGGAAAATTTGAAAGCATGCACCATGTGTATATTTGTGAATACTGAAAGGAGCTTGCTTTTTCTTCCCCTCCCACACCCTGCTTCCCTGTTTTCCAGGAAGCATCTCAATACAAATCTGCACAATTATTCATTATTATAGAATTTATCCAGCAATCAGTATGTTTACTTTTGCAATCTATAGGATACATCCAAAGAATCTGTATTTCAAAGATCTCCCAGATTACAATGACAGCTGTTGGTATGTCCCCTTTCATTATTTTTAATCCTTTTTCCAAGTGTCACAGTCCTGAGGGTATGTTTGTCTCCAGAAGGTGTTACTCCAATAGCCAGCTGCCAGTGAGATAATCCCAACTCTCAGGTGCAAAATTCTTCATGCAATAAACAGTTTCACCTGACCACACCAGCAAAACATGCATGCTCAGAGGCCCATCAGGAAGGGACCATAGTAAATCACATGTTTTACAAGCAGAGGTCAATCCACTCACCTCTAGCTAAAAATGATCTCAATATTCAGTACTCTCTGGCACACCTCTCCATGATCTCAGACAAATCTTCTACATACAAGGCTCATACTTTCCCCAGCTCTAGAACATCTCTGTCTACAGAGATGGTATATCTCTTCCCATGGTAAAAAAATACCAAACGGAATGCCTGCCTCGGCTGGAGAACATCAAAGTTTACTGGAGTGCTGAAGGGATATGCAACACCAACCAAATATCGTTAGCCTGATGGTCCTCCTACCTTGATAAGGATGGACCATCCCTTCTATAA